CAAACCCTAAACCCCTAAACCCTGAACCCTGTGCTTGCGATCCTGGTGCTCAACCACTTCGGGCTCCCTCCAGCTAACCTTTCTGGCTTAGGGTTTAGGGTTTAGGGTTTAGGGTTTAGGCTTTGGATGCAGGATATTCAGGGTTTAGGTAGGGCTTGAGATACAGGATTTTAATGTTTCTAGGTAGGGTTCTGATACAGGATATTCGAGTTGGGTTTGGGATTTAGGGTGTTTGCTTCAGGGTTTATGGTTTGAGGTTCAGGGGAAAATTTCCAACAAAAAGCCGGCCCCCTTGTGTACCCAATGACATTATGACGAGAACCCTTATGGGAGCAACTCCTGAAGGAAGAGGAACGCCTGATTTCTGGAAATGCCAACGTCTCAAGGTAAAACCTGGCATATCCATGGCGAACTTGGAATGTGCAGAAACCGGTTCCTTTCTTTGCGTCCATGGGGATATAGTCCCCCTTAAGTAGATGGAGTATGGGGTATATGGCCCAAAGTCATATTCTATCTACTTAAGGGGGGCTATTTATGCTACAGGGGCAGATAAGATCGGAGGCGACCATGTCCAGCCCCATTCAGAGGCTGACGCACTTTTGTTGAATACCCGACTTATGTGGAATTTTCCCAGAATGAGGGGACCCCAATATAGACCCCAATATACTATAGTCATTAGTATAGGGACACCCAAAAATGTACCCTGAATTTTGGGAAACCGCTACTTATTTTTGCCAACCGCAACACTATTTGTTGGGTAGGCTAAGGGCCTTGGCAAAAATGATCTACAGCCACATATCCCATATACCTAGTGGACATTGGTTATACAGGGGTTTCCCATGGTTTCCCTAAATTAGGGGTACTTTTTTGGGGATCCCCATAATTAGGATTATAGTATTTTGGTCTATATTGGGGGTCCCCCTATTTTGGGCAACTACCATATCAAGGGCTATGCGGAACTACCAGAGGGAACCCCCTGTCAACCCATCATGGTCCCTTGGTAACCCTAACCTCATGAAGACATATAATCCAGCAGGCCAAGGAGCGAATAGATGCCCTCGAAGGCATCGATCCGCGTGAACTTCCTCTTTGCCTCCTTTGCATATTCAAGTGGAACTTGGTTTAGCCAGTTGTGCATCTGCACAGGAACCATCCCCAAAGATCACTTGCTCTGTTTATTCGGGGTTTGAGATTAGAATAAGCCATAATTCAAAGTTACGCTCAGGACATCCCTAGGAATGCTAAGGTTTAGGGTACAGGGTCTAGGGCTTGGTTTCCACGTTACAGTTCGGTAGCCGCGAAAAGAAAGAGGAGCTCTACCATAATTGCCACCGCCAAAGGGACCATGATTTTAAGAACAAAATTCACAAAACATCTCCCCCAGTACCTCCCCACTATACTACAACATATTCTATCTACTTAAGGGGACTAAACCCCAAAATATACCCTCTTGTAATCTAGTAGTTTCCATTTTTCCATCATCCCTATATAACCAACCCCAGGTTCCCCCGAGCCTAGGCTGTCCACATGGGAGTTTCTCAAAATAGGTTTAGGGCTTAGGGTTTAGGGCCTATGAACTTCTTAGGCTGAGCGCCCCTGAAATCCTGTCATGACCCCTGCACCCTCCAAGGGTTTGTGGGGGTATCTCTGTTTTCATAATACACCATACCACCAAGCAACTGCTGGCAAGTAAGCACAGCAACTTCATGCAATCTAGCCCGCAACATCCTGTGCTCACGAATGAGAGGCCCTCCTGTAAGCCTAGGAAACCTGGCAGTTCGCATCAACAAGCGCTGTGATGAGCTAGCCACAGAAACTGCATGGCTGCTCGGCAATGGTAATTGCAGCAAGGATCAAGAGCCCCTGGTATTCTGTCTTTCGCGCATTCAGCATTCTCGCATGCATGTGTTTCTGGCTCAAGGCACAGTGCTTGTTGATCGGAAGTGGCGTTGCATTGTTTCATGTCCTCCATGTTGCGAATTTCGGACAACGGTATATTCAGTACCAACAGTACTAGCACGACTATCAGACATTCTCATGCGACAGCAAAAAGGACAAAACTGCCTAACTTCTAAAGTTGCATGTGACTTGGTCATGAACCACGTAGGACCAGACAAACAGATTCCAAGCAGACTGCCCTGCTCAACCCCTGCAGAGTCTCCATCACATACAACATATGATCCCAGTAATCTCGCATGTCTTATCATTTCATGTTCCATGTTCTTTTCCAGGTTAATCTCCATTTTTGGGGAAACATGTCCCAAGACCCCAAACCCTACACACCCCATAGTTACACCCTATGACCCCGTAAACCCTATAACCCCTAAACCATAAGTCCCTAAACCCAATCGACCCCTTTGTGACGGCAGCTCACATGAGCTATAATCTAAACTCCTAGTATCCCCCTTAATAACCCCTATAGTAGTCCCATATATAGTCCCCTGTCTAAACCCCCTTTAGGGAATTTAGACTATAGCTTACATGATGTTGCGAGTTGAGCTTGCCTCGCCACCCACGCGCTGCTCAGTGACCTTCGCCGCGGAGACAGCCGCCTGCGGGTTTTGGTCCTATAGGGTTTTAGGATTTTGGGGTTTGGGAGTGTAGCGTGTTTAAGGGGCTTGGGGTCTAGGATCTTAGGGTTTGGGGTCTGCAGGGTTTAGCAGGGTTGTGCTAGCTTTGAGTTTTAGGGCCAGTTTGGCCTGTCAAACAGTCTGAGGTAGTCCTGCACAGGGACACAGGGGTCCGGATGGCTCAATAAGGATGGATCCTGGTCGGCTTGAGGGGGTTGGGCCTCTGTGTTGGAGTAGAGCCATGTAGACAGGAAAACTATACTATAGTAGTTTCCATTTTCTTTTCCATGATCCCTATATAGCACCAATATACTATAGTAGTTTCCATTGTCTTTTCCACTACCCCTTTGGGATGTTTATGTGGAGCTCGCGCTTAGTAGAGGAGGTTGCAACTGCAAGTTTGATTTGGTACTTTCCCTAAATAGGGGAACCCCAACATAGACCCTAAAATACTATAGTCCTTATTATGGGAACCCCAAAAAGGTACCCCTAATTTTGGGAAACCCCCATTTATTGCTGTGCAACGCTGTGGGCTCCCTACACTTTGGCTGTCTGGGCCCGCAAAGAACACTGCGGCTTCATATCTCGGAGATTGGGTCACCGAATATAACCTAATATAACCCCTGTATAACCCCAATATGTACCCTATTGTAATATAGTAGTTTCCATTTTATTTTCCATTATCCCAATATATAATATAAGTTGTAGACTCACGATTTCTGGTGAGTGGATATCTAAAGCAACAAGCCGGGTCCCTTAACCCTAAAACCTCTAAACCCCCTCCTACAACCGATAACATAAGCCACTTTCGTTTAAAAAAACCATTTGATAACCCCTGTATAACCCCAATATATACCCTATTATATAGTAGTTTCCATTTTATTTTCAATTATCCCATTCATCATCAACCTGAATGGCCTGCTTGGCTGCAGCTTTTGCTTTCTGAGACTTCTCCGCCATGGCCACGGAGCCGCAGAGGGGCAAAGGGGCTTAGGAACTGTTCTAAAAGCACTAGCTAGAGCAACCTAGACCCTTTAAAAAAGGTAAAAGATAGCAAAATATTGCCTTTACCATGTGTAGATTGGGTACTGAAGGTAGTGGCTCAGGGCTTTGGCTTCCGGAGCTGGGCTTTGGTGTCTACGACTTAGGGCTTAGGGGTGGGGAAGTACTTTGGGGTTGTGCTTGGAGTCAAGCTCCAAAGTGCGGATGTTTTGATCAACGACCTACCTGGCCCCCTTAAGGATGTAGAATACTTGCAATTTGTCATTTGGGTTGGTTTTGGGAAATTATGTTGGCTACTTTGGGATCCAGGTATGGGCTTTCTTTGGATGACTGGGTCTTAGGGATTGGAGCGGGGATAGGTTCTAGAGTCTGCTGTCCCCCAAGTGCTGCAAGATTGAACTATAACCTTCCCCCACTCATTTCTGGGCTTGAGTGGTTTGTCTGTTGGCCGATGGATGAAATCCTGGAACGTGTCAGCATGTTTTCTTGCAAAATGAAGCTAGATGCAAAGAGCTCAAGCAAGGACCTCCGAAGATTAGTTCAGATCCGAATCATGCTGTCCTTTGACCACTCTAATCCCATGGGTGAAAAAAAGGCTGCTAATGTGCGTTTCCTCTTTCTTACTGTATTTCTGAAACGCCTGCATTGCTCGTTCGAAGGACCCTGAGGTCAGCAAGCAAAGCTCATATGCTTTCCACACAAAAGCCATTCTCACCGGACTCACCGGCCTATCACCAACCGTAGTGTATACAACAGCCAGCTTTAAAACCATGCTTCATTCCCTAACGGGAACACATCAGAGACACAGACCTTCTTTTTTTGCAGAGCGTGCGGCTGCCAGACTGCCAGCAAAGCAGAGAAGGTCTGAAACACGCTGCGCCCCACCAGGGCCACCACGGAAAGTCATCGTATTGCGAGAACCAATTTGCTTATCCAGGATTGGCACCATGAATCCGGCAATTTCATGATAATAAGAAACGCAAATGCGGGGTAAGCCTGGTACAGTATACCAGGAACCACTGCGTATTCCTAAACTTCAAACCCACAACCCCAATGCTTAATCCTTTTGCAAAGACTGCCAAAGCAATATGGTCCCCCTTAGGTTAAGTAGATAGAATATCGGGTATATGGGGATCTTATTATAATATACCCAAAGCCATATTCCTTCTACTGAAGGAGGACTATAGGCCCCTCACGGTCCGAAGAAGTTGCTTGACCTGCGCAGAGCAAAGCCGGTGCAGGCACTCGGAACTTTTTTCCCGTTTCCTGAATTCCCTATAGTATGGGTCCATATGAGCTAGAATCTAAACTCCTTGTATCCCCCTTAATGACCCCAATGGTAGTTCGCTATATAATCCCCTATATAAGCCCCCTTTAGGGAGTGTAGACTATGGCTCATATACACAATGTGGCGATTTAGGGATACCTCCACGTTGAGCCTGCGCATCCAAAGCAGAGCATAGCTCTGACATGGAATCCCATTCATCTGTCTTTTGGAGCCCTGGTTCGAAATATCACTGTAAAGAAGGATCCGGGAACCTGTCAGCCAGGACCCTCCTTGTACCCTTTAAATAGGGGTATATGGTCCCTGTTTAAGGTATATGGAGGGTAGATGGAGGGTCTGGGCCTGGAAGTATGGGGAAGAGAACCAGACATGCTACCTTAAGCAATTGCTACAGAATAACGATGAGGCCAGTGGCTGCGCCGCAAACGTAAAGGGTAGTTAGAATGCTCGTCTGGTACAAGCTATGTCTACCGAAGCCCTCCAACTGCTTTCTACTAGCACCTAAGTACATCTCAAGTACCCACTATGAGGGGCCTTATAGCCTATAGCCTGAAACCAAGATTACTGGAATGGTCTTGGTAGACCTTTTTCTGTGGACTAAGGCACGCACAGTCTTTGAAGTTTGAAGTGCTCTGAAGCTTGGGCAAGCACGAACGCACGATCCAAGAAGTCGTCTGCGAATGGAAGCCATAAATCCTTATATACCCCCTAGAACCCCTGTTTAACCCTTATATAACCTCTATTTAAAACTACTGAGTCTTGCAGCTGCTGCACTTTGAAGGCTGAAGCACGCATGAAGCTATCAATGCTGTGACTTTTGGGCAACATTTGGCACATCATGAAAACCACAAGGCTTCAGACAACTGCAACGGAAGCACTCAAATATGAGGCTACTTCGAGACTCGGCATACCAACTAGATATGTGCGGGAAGCACATGGGCTGTATACCTTCGACTACACTGGAAGGATGCTAAATGTACCAGTATGCACCAGAACAACATGTTGGAAACGTGAAAAAAGCTGCTCCTGGCTACTCGGAGCCTTGAACAATGGGAGAAACAGATGGTTGGCCTTTTTCCGTTAATCTCACATGGATGCCGCAGAAAGTACAGAGATCTGGGGGGGGGGTCCAATACAGGGGTCCTTGTTATGTAGTCCCCCCAAAAAGGACCGCTAATGCTTGCACATGCCCATCCAAGGGATCCCGGAAGCCCGAAGTAGATGTTATGTATAAGCTTTAGGGTTTATAAAGGTTTAGGGTTTAAAGACTTTAAAGCCATAAGTAGCATTTACACATTTGGGATCGTCAGGGTACTGTTTGGATCTAGCTTTTCCCGACATGGAAGCAACCCGTACCTCGCCAGCGACACCAGCTGTGAGCAGTCGAAGATCTGCGCGTTGAAGCACGGTTTTAAGGTTGAGGGATTGAGGGATTTAGGGCTGCAAGTATTTAAGATCACTGAAAGATTTACGGGGCTAAGGTTGAGGGATTAAGGGGTTCAGGATTTCATGTGTTTACGGTCTACAAGGCTTGTGGGGCCTAAAGGGTGTTGAGGGCACTACTGCTTTTAGATGTTTAGAGCGCCTAAAGCATCTAGGGTTTCAACTTAGAGCTTGCGGTTAGGGTTTCATTTGGATTTATCGGCAGTCCATCCCAGCAAAGATATGTCGTCTCATCTCAAACTTGGGGGACCTTGCCTGGGGATATGTAAGATCATGCGGTATCATCCCGGGATTCTGGCAGTGAACCACCGCAACTATTAAGAAACCTTGGTACAGGTCACCTCATTACGCAACTTCAGAAGTTTTAGGGCATTACTCTACAGTGCCTCAAGTTCACCCCCTTGCATACCAGCAATATGGCGAACTGCAGCCATTTCGGTGGCAAGAGCCTGAAGGCAGGGTCCGTGCTGTGCCCCAAAGTAGTGATATGGGAACTCGTTACTATATAGAACATATATGTGCATGGACCTTTTGGGGGCGCGACAAAAGCTGGTCTTGGGCTTATCCGGTCCTGCTGGCCCCTGTGAAGACCTGCATCCCCAAACAACCCCACACACGTGATTACTTCCAAAGCAAAGCAACTGTTTTTTCGACAAGAATTGCGCATTGGGCAAGCGCGAGGTTGAAGTCCTGTAGAGTTGCATAACGAACAGATGGGGGTGTGCGAGGCTGTGACGATACAATGCTCCTGAATGCAGTGTAACAAGGACCTCAATCAAAAGACCTTTCTGAGCACTACAACATGTCTTGTCGCGCCAGACATGTACCCTGTCAGCCTCCTGGAGGAGCAGGCAGAAATCTAGACGCAAAAGAAATCTCTAAAACAGCAACTTCAGCTGCAATTCTCGGGTCCCTACCTGAGGATGTGCAACGTTGTGCGCGGGATTTGTCGGATCCATCCTTGCTGAAGGCTAGGCAGCTTTACACTGTACTTGGCTCGGGACATCTCTTACAAAGTTCAAGTTGTTTCTGTTGCCTCTTGCGCGAGGCCCTGTGTTTGACATGCATGGCCTGCTTTCGGGACTCTCACAGCGGAGTTTCTGCCTACATGTGACAACGCTCGGCGATTCTGGAGAATAAACTTTGGACAGCGTGTATACCAAAAAGCGAAGTTGCTACGGACTTTGTCATAATCAGAAGACGAAACCTGAACGCCTAGGACAATTCGTTCTTCATAGCTCCGAGGCCAGCCATCCATTACTCGAGCAATATCTCAACTTTCAAGCGGCGCACCTACCTAGACCCTCCACCTACCCTCTAGTAGGCTTTAGTTCCCAGTATTAGGGGCCATATATCCCCAATTAAAAGGTACTAGGAAGGTCTGGGTACTTAGCTGTGTGGAATAGGACCTGGGTTCGGCGCAGCAACGGCCGTTGCGAGAGAAGTGCCGGTGACACCTCCGCCTGACACAAGCATAGGGTGGATAGCCAACAATGCCACGTGCCATTCTTATGATAACAGCTGCGTAGCTGTTATGGCCAGAAATCTGAAATAGCCACTGTAGCAATTCTTGCCAACTAGGTTGCCACTGTTTCGTGGTGCGGCTCTGCTGCGAGCCCCCGCTACAGACAAAGCACAGGCGGCATGTTTGTAGGTGACGGACTCTACCTAATCACCTGTTGAGTTCATCAAAGGGTTTTGGCCGTTCCTCCTGAGGCTTGTGAAATTTGCCAGCAAAAGCCTCCCCAGCGCTCTAGCAAGATGTAGGGATGTTGTCTTTACTTTTGTGTGATTAGATGCAGCTTTCAAATGACGAAACTGATCCCAATCTCCCTTCCCCCTGAAAGAGGTGATGGTGGTGCCTCATGTAAATGTCCCAGCAGACGGTCCCTTTCTGACACGAAGGTCAAAGCTGAATTCTGCTTCCCATTACAGCGTCGAAATGTCCAGCAGGATGCTTTGGCTGAAGGATGGGGTAACCATAGATATGGTTGACAGTTGTACTTGCAACAGAATCTACAACACGGAGCCCTAAATCTGCCCAGTATCCCTTTGCCATGAACAGGTCTCAAGATTTGATCCACAGGACGTAGCCAGCCTGGAGCCCCCAATGCTGACACTTGTTCGAAACTGTGGATCATGGCACGGACAGGTTCAGCCTTCTTTGCCCCTCTTCTGTTGAGGCTCTGGTACCCTCTTCCCTCCAAGCCCTCCTAGCAGCCTTAGAGGT